TAGCCTAAAAAGAAAATAACTGTTCCGACCCTTCTCCTCCCGCTGCCCTTTCTAGATACGCTCCTGAAGTTGCCAGTAATAGGCTCAGCAACCTTTTCCATTTGTAATGCCAAGTCGTCTTACCATTTCTACTGATCTGCATGCGTGCCAGTTATGATTTTCATATGCACATTTTCGTGGAACAGTTTCATTTCATTTATAATAAAGTCTTCATATCTCAAAATCAAATCAAAATGATATCTAAATGAAAATGCTACAAATCTAAACATAACTTTATTGCCATTGCTAATATGTATAAATAGCCTTTATAAAGCCAACAAATAAAAATATTGCAGGCAGCAGGTATAAAGAATGTAGTACTGGTGAGCCATCCCCGTGGCCTCCGCAATGGATTAGTTCACTCAGACAGGCATCTCGTGTGCCATACGTTTTTCATATCACAAAAAATAAAAAAAACTGTGCGAAGTTGATGGATATTGGCGGGACCTGGAACATGTTTTCGTACACATAGATCCAGAGCATCGCAAACATGCTCAATGGGTGATCTGTCTGGTGAGTATGCTGGCAATGGAAAAACTGGGACATTTTGTACAGATCCTTACGACATGGGGATGTGCATTATCAAGCTGAAACATGAGGTGATGGCGGCTGATGAATGGCACGACATTGGGCCTCAGGATCTCGTCACGGTGTCGCTGTGCATTGAAATTGCCATCGATAAAATGCAATTGTGTTTGTTGTCCTTAGCTTAAGCCTGCCCATACCATAACCTCACCACTACCACGGGGCACTCTGTTCACAACGTTGACATCAGAAAACCGCTGGCTCACACAACGCCATACGTCTGCCATCTACAGTTGAAACCAGGATTCATCCATGAAGAGCACACTTTTCGAGCGTGCCAGTGTCCATCGAAGTTGAGCATTTGCCCGCTGAAGTCGCCAAACTGCAGTCAGGTCAAGACCCTTCAGTTGTGCAAACCCACATTTTAATCAGCTGACCAGGTGGCTGGTCTCAGACAATCCCGCAGGTGAAGAAGCCAGATGTGGAGGTCCTGGGCTAGCGTAGATACACGTGGTCTGTGGTTGTGAGGCCGGTTGGAACTACTGTCAAATTCTCTAAAACGACGTTGGAAGCAGCTTATGGAAGATAAATTAACATAACATTTTCTGGCAACAGGTCTGGTGGACATTCCTGCAGTCAGCATGCCAAGTGCACACTCCCTCAAAACTTGAGACATCTGTGGCACTGTGTTGTGGCAAAACTGCACATTTTAGAATGTCCTTTTATTGTCCCCAGAACAAGGTGAATCTGTGTACTGATCATGTTACTTAAAATCAGCTTCTTGATAATCCATCCAAATCAAATCCATTTTATTGGCCACATGCGCCGAATACAACAGGTGCAGACATTACAGTGAAATGCTTACTTACAGCCCTTAACCAACAGTGCATTTATTTTTCTATTAAAAAGTAAAATAAAACAACAAAAAAGTGTTGAGAAAAAAAGAGCAGAAGTAAAATAAAATAACAGTAGGGAGGCTATATACAGTGGGAAGAACAAGTATTTTATACACTGCCGATTTTGTAGGTTTTCCTACTTACAAAGCATGTAGAGGTCTGTCATTTTTATCATAGGTGCACTTCAACTGTGAGAGACGGAATCTAAAACAAAAATCCAGAAAATCACATTGTATGATTTTTAAGTAATTCATTTGCATTTTATTGCATGACATAAGTATTTGATACATCAGAAAAGCAGAACTTAATATTTGGTACAGAAACCTTTGTTTGCAATTACAAAGATCATACGTTTCCTGTAGATCTTGACCAGGTTTGCACACACTGCAGCAGGGATTTTGGCCCACTCCTCCATACAGACCTTCTCCAGATCCTTCAGGTTTCAGGGCTGTCGCTGGGCAATACGGACTTTCAGCTCCCTCCAAATATGTTCTATTGGGTTCAGGTCTGGAGACTGGCTAGGCCACTCCAGGACCTTGAGATGCTTCTTACGGAGCCACTCCTTAGTTGCCCTGGCTGTGTGTTTTGGGTCGTTGTCACGCTGGAAGACCCAGCCACGACCCATCTTCAATGCTCTTACTGAGGGAAGGAGGTTGTTGGCCAAGATCTCGCGATACATGGCCCCATCCATCCTCCCCTCAATACGGTGCAGTCGTCCTGTCCCCTTTGCAGAAAAGCATCCCCAAAGAATGATGTTTCCACCTCCATGCTTCACGGTTGGGATGGTGTTCTTGGGGTTGTACTCATCCTTCTTCTTCCTCCAAACACGGCGAGTGGAGTTTAGACCAAAAAGCTCTATTTTTGTCTCATCAGACCACATGACCTTCTCCCATTCCTCCTCTGGATCATCCAGATGGTCATTGGCAAACTTCAGATGGGCCTGGACATGCGCTGGCTTGAGCAGGGGGACTTGAGTGCGCTGCAGGATTTTAATCCATGATGGCGTAGTGTGTTACTAATGGTTTTCTTTGAGACTGTGGTCCCAGCTCTCTTCAGGTCATTGACCAGGTCCTGCCGTGTAGTTCTGGGCTGATCCCTCACCTTCCTCATGATAATTGATGCCCCATGAAGTGAGATCTTGCATGGAGCCCCAGACCGAGGGTGATTGACCGTCATCTTGAACTTCTTCCATTTTCTAATAGTTGCGCCAACAACAGTTGTTGCCTTCTCACCAAACTGCTTGCCTATTGTCCTGTAGCCCATCCCAGCCTTGTTTAGGTCTACAATTTTATCCCTGATGTCCTTACATAGCTCTCTGGTCTTGGCCATTGTGGAGAGGTTGGAGTCTGTTTGATTGAGTGTGTGGACAGGTGTCTTTTATACAGGTAACGAGTTCAAACAGGTGCAGTTAATACAGGTAATGAGTAGAGAACAGGAGGGCTTCTTAAAGAAAAACGAATAGGTCTTTGAGAGCCGGAATTCTTACTGGTTGGTAGGTGATCAAATACTTATGTCATGCAATAAAATGCAAATTAATTACTTAAAAATCATACAATGTGATTTTCTGGATTTTTGTTTTAGATTCCGTCTCTCACAGTTGAAGTGTACCTATGATAAAAATTACAGACCTCTACATGCTTTGTAAGTAGGAAAACCTGCAAAATCGGCAGTGTATCAAATACTTGTTCTCCCCATTGTATACAGGGGGGTACCGGTGCAGAGTCAATGTGTGGGGGCACCGGCTAGTTGAGGTAGTTGAAGTAATATGTACATGTGGGTAGAGTTCAAGTGACTATGCATAAATAATTAACAGAGTAGCAGCAGCGTAAAAAGATGGGGTGGGGGGGGGGGGGGGGCCGTGAAAATAGTTTGGGTAGCCATGATTAGCTGTTCAGGAGTCTTATGGCCTGGGGGTAGAAGCTGTTGACTTGAATGTTGAGAAGTCTTTGGACCTAGACTTGGCACTCTGGTACCGCTTGCCGTGCGGTAGCAGAGAGAACATTCTATGACTAGGTGGCTGGAGTCTTTGACAATTTTGAGGGCCTTCCTCTGACACCGCCTGGTATAGAGGTCCTGGATGGTAGAAAGCTTGGCCCAAGTGATGTACTGGGCCATACGCACTACCCTCTGTAGTGCCTTGCGGTCTGAGGCCAAGCAGTTGCCATACCAGGCGGTGATGCAACCAGTCAGGATGCTCTCGATGGTGCAGCTGTATAATTTTTTGAGGAGCTGAGGACCCATGCCAAATCTTTTCAGTCTCCTAAGGGGGAATAGGCTTTGTCGTGCCCTCTTCACGACTGTCTTGGTGTGTTTGGACCATGATAATTTGTTGCTGATGTGGACACCAAGGAACTTGAAGCTCTCAACCTGTTCCACTACAGCCCCGTCGATGAGAATGGGGTCGTGCTCAGTCCTCTTTTTTTTCCCTGTAGTCCACAATCATCTCCTTTGTCTTGGTCACGTTGAGGGAGAGGTTGTCCACCTGACAGGTGTGGCATATCTTGGCAAAGGACAAAATGCTCACTAACTGGAATGTAAACACGTGTACAAAACTTGAGCTTTTTGTGCATATGAACATTTTCTGGGATCTTTTATTTCAGCTCATGAAACATGGGACCAACACTTTACATGTTGCGTTTATATTTTTGTTCAGTAGTTGCCTACCCGTCTTACACGTTTGTTCTATGAGATAATCAGTCAGTTAACATGACCTTTATGAATTATGAAGCCTTTATGGGCTTGTTTTGATTAAATAAATTTATTAATTTTTTTTAATTCACAGAAAATGACATTCTGATGGAGATGATCTCCTAGAACAAAGCGCATAACATGCGAACCTCATCGGACGTTGCAAAATTGATTAACATGTATGTGTAAATCTATCATTTCACCCACACCGCTCGCGTGCGTGAACAAGCGTCTGCGTATCCAAGCGCTAAAATAGAACTTGGATCTATTTTAAATGCTCCAATAAGGAAGTCCCTTCCTTATTGGATATCAGGAAGATACAAACCCATGTTGATGCTTGAAAGACAAACGAGAGAATAATAAAAGATAACTAAAAACAAACTAGGTTTACCTTATCTGGGGATTAATCGTCTTTGTGTCATGATCACATCTGGTGGGGATAGACAAAATCAACATGTGCCGGTGTAGTGAGCATGTAAGATCTCCTAAGCCTGTGTTTAACAGACCTTATTTTCAGCGTTTATCCAAAAACCCTATTAAAAAATCCATTACTTTCCCCATAGGCTTTGGAATTAGCCTCCGCAAGTGCCTACAAAAAGACACCATTACTATTGCTCTCTATATTCCAGCCTTCAGACAAGACTATCAAGGCTAAACTTGAACAAGCCAAGACTCTAGCTTGATACACCATCTAGGTAAGCCTGACAGTGTTTAGCATGCAGCAGACTCCCCTCTACGGCCATCGGTCCTCTTCCGAATGTAATTATACAACACCATTTCTAATTGACTCCCGAGCCGGGAGAACAGGAATTAATGTATTCTTATAAGGAAGCAGTGTATGAATGCAGAATGTTAATTTGGTTTACAGTCAGAAGAGGCGTCGCTTTCTGAAGGAGAAAAATACACCATTAAACACCTAATCAGGATCAGATACAGAAAAGCTAAACAGTGAGCCTTTAAAAATGCAAATTTCTCTCTCCTTCGCACCCTCCCTCTCGCGGGCGTGCGCACGCGAAACAATGGTAGCTCACAATTTCATGCATGGAGACATTTTCCAATTACACCCCTCCCCACATACCACACACACACTCACTCAAAGCCTGCTCAATTCTCTCATTCTGATTCACACTAAACCTTTATAGCTCTGCCAGAACAGAAAAACTGTATTTTCAAGAAGATAATGCTCCTGTGACGAGGTCAAAACAAACCAACCGCCTTATCTATTTCTCTCAGTGTAGGAATGCTGATCTAGGATCAGATCCCCCCTATTAATTATTATTTAACCTCTTCAGGATCGGACCCTTTTTTCAATTTTCGTCTAAAATGACATACCCAAATCGAACTATTGTAGCTCAGGACCTGAAGCAAGGATATGCATATTCTTGATACCATTTGAAAGGAAACACTTTCAAGTTTGTGGAAATGTGAAATTAATGTAGGAGAATATAACACATTAGATCTGGTAAAAGATAAACCTGCGTTTTTTCTCTCTCCATCATCTTTGAAATGCAAGAGAAAGGCCACAATATAATATTGCAGTTTAGGCACAATTTAGATTTGCCACTTGATGGCAGCAGTGTGTGTGCAAAGTTTCAGATTGATCCAGTGAAGCATTGCAATACTGGACTATTTTGTATCAAGTCTGCCCAAATTTGCCAAATTGGTCGATTGATAAATGTGCAAGTACATAACTATAGAGAACATACAAAAATGATATGGTAATACAAAATGTAAGTTTACACACTCCCAGGAATGTCATACATGTAGATGGCCGGGCGGGGTGGGTGTGGAGCCAGAGAAAGCAGGGGTTCAAACTGTAGAACCCAGTACCTACATTTGAAAATAAAAATGGATTTTATCAAAAAAAACAATGCTACATTTTATCTCTGGGATCCTTAGGATGACAAATCAGAGCATGATTACTGAATGTAAGTACATTGTTTACTTTCAGAGGTGAATGTATGTTGTAGTTCACTGTAGTAGCTACTGTAAATTTGACAGTGCAGTTAGATTAACAAGAATTTAAGCTTTCTGCCCATATAAGACATGTCTATGTCCTGGAAAGTTTGCTGTTACTTACAGCAGTCATGCTAATCACATTAGCGCACGTTAGCTCAACCGTCCCGTATACGGGACACCGATTCCGTAGAGGTTAAAAGTCAAAACTTATCCTAGATCAGCACTCCTACTCGTAGATGATTTGTGTATACGGGCCAGGTCAAAACTTAAGTAGTGCATTATATAGGGAATCGGGTGCTACGTGGGAAACAGAATAGCAGAAATTCCTCGACTCTGAGGCACAGCAAACTTACAACAAACCAGTACTCAGAAACAGCACATACTACTATGCCTATACCTGCATTGCATAAAGCCCCTAAAGCAAAGTGGTGAGTGACAGAATCAAACACCCTTCAGTACTCTCAAGCAGGACTGTGCAGGTTACCCAATACCTGAATTCTAGCGTAAACAACAAAGCAGGAGGAGCACAACACAACTCACCGGTGACAGGTGTAGCTCCGGGGCCATTGCGGGGGAGGGCGTTAGCTCCACTCCCCAAGAGCCTGCTCTGTCCCGAGGACGTACTCTGGGTAAATCCTCTAAATCCTCTGTAGCGTGAGATGTCACCTCCACCCAGCGGGTGATGGGATAGCGTCCGCGGCCTAAAGTGCCTCCAGCGGCACGACTTAATGTTCAACAGAATCTCACTGAGGTCCCCAGATGGCGACAAAGAGGAGGAAGAAGAGGGGTGGTGGTTGTTGGGAGCATTGGTTCGGTCCGAGGTATTGGTGTCTGAGGTACTGGCAGGCGCTGCGCTGCGGAGTGGAGAGCTTGTGGGAGGAGATGAGGCTTGAAGTGGTTCGGTCTCGGGGTCTGAGTCCAGGCTGTGGAAAACGCTGTCCAGATCTGTGTGTGCTCTGTCCAGCAAAACCCTGAAACAGAACCAGAGAGACTTGTTACAATCACAGCATTGATAACACATGGCACCCTATTCACTATATAGTGCACTATTTTTGACCAGGACCCATAAGGCGCTGGTTAAAAATAGTGCAACCCTGGTCAAAAGTAGTGCATTATATAGGGAACGCATGCTGTGGTTAAAAGTATATAGACAGAATAGGGTTTCATTTGGGACGCATCCACAGACTCCTGTTTACACAACATGAGATAGTAAGTAATGGATATATTCAGAGCAGAGGTCTTCACGGATCCACCTGTACCCGAATACCCGAGACCCGATCCCTGACCGGGAATTCTAAATAATGTCACGGGTCTGGGTCGGATCTGATTGTCACGGGTATGTGTAATTTTAACTGACTTATCCGGAAAGGCCCGTACAGATCCGAACGCGACTGCTGCAGTAGAGAGAGATAGACATTGTATCATTTATGCTGCTGCTCTTGCTTTTCACGAGAGTGGCGCGTGGCACGTGTAGCTTGTTGGCCAATCATAAGTCAAAGTTGCAATAGACGGGTTGGCTGACGTCGTCACAAAAATGACGCGCACGCATCTATGTGGCCGGAAGGCATGCGTTATTATTCTGAACGGTCAGATGGCTAGCAACAATGACAAGAAGCTGCCGTGTTGGGAATCGTAGGTGGCTCCCTTCAGCTCGTTTAATTTTGTTATTGATACCTTGTTTTGAGGTGTTTTGACTGATGTCATGTCTATACTAATATGGCTCAAATTCATTAGCTAGCTAACCAACAACTGGAACAATGTATTTGAGAGACAAGAAGTACTTTCCCACCCGGTAACTCTCCCTCGCGCTCTATCAGCTCGGTTAAAATAAATAAATATACTTTTCTGCTGCTTCCCTCACTCGGATTGGACCGGGTCTGGAATCTGCCCAGGTCTATACGTAACGGGTCTAGTTATTCTCGTGTCTGTTTGGAACGGGTCTCTATATTTAAATACATTATTTACGCATATTGGGTCCGGGTGGGAAAGCCCCAGGTCCATTTTGGAACGGCCCAACTTTTTAGACCTGTGAAGACATCGAATTCAGAGCCCCAGGCAGGGGGTATAAGCATGATAAAATGTCACAGCTGTAATGGCATGTAACATTACGAGAGTATTACAGTTCTAGCCTTCCTCAAAGTCCTGATAGCCGTTTCCAATCTGCGTGCGCGTGTTGCAGTGTGTGTCAGAAACAGTCGCCACTTGCTTAAACAACTTAAATCTCCTCAACGACATCCAGCACAGAAAAAGGATCCCCTGTCAAACGAACAGCTACTGTAACAGGCTAGTACAGCCTCAAGGTGAGATTTGGGATGTGTCCCAAATGGCGCCCTATTCCCTATAGACCAGAGCCCAAAGGTAGTGTGCTACATAGGGAATAGGGTGCCATTTGGGACACAGCCCTAGGGAGCAGTAAGGGCGTCTGAACTCACCTGCCCCCTCTGCCCGTGCGTCGCCTTGCCAACCCTACGCAGCGCCGGGGCACCGTCAGTGACGTGAGGCAGTAGCGGAAGCGAGGGTCGCCCAAACCGCCCCCAGAGGGGCTGACCCATGGCCAGTTACCACTCTGGTCCAGACGAGACTGAGGGAGGGAGGGAGAGAGAGAGAGAGGGACAGAGAGAGACAGAGAGAGCGCGAGGGAGATGACCAGGGATTGGTCATGGGGGAGAGAGAGAGCGATAGAGAGCAGAAAATATAAAAAAAGGGTGAAGAGAGAGGGAGGAGAGAGAGAAGAGAGACAAAGTGGGAAGGCTCCGTCAGTAAGGCGTTGATGTGGTCAGCAGAGCGTCGAAGAGAAAAAAGTGGCAGCCCTGGCTGTGTGTGTGTGTGTGGGGCTGGCCGAAAGAGCAGCGTATGGGCTATAAATAGAGCAGCGGAGTCACAGGAGGGCAGGCAGCTACTCTACTCACAGCGTAGTACTGACAGCCGGCCTTCCTCCGGAACGCAAAGCAGCCATCTGGGTCATTCTCCTCTTCTGCCTCAGAGGAACCTGAATGGATCTAAACAAACACGGGGGGAGGGGGGGGGGGGTGAGTTACGATAAGAGCCAAAGACAGTAACAATGTGGCTGGCTACTTAGACAACAGCCATGATTGCGATCACAACTCCTCCTGCTGCTACTACTACTACAACAACAAATACAGACCAATACTTAACATTATCACCATCATTATCTGCACCCAAGTGGCACCCTATTTCCTATACAGTTGCACTACTTCTGACAAGAGCCCTATGGGCCCTGGTGAAAAGTGGTGCACTAAATAGGTAATAGGGTGCCCTTTAGGACGCAGTCATCACCACAGGTGTTTTTTTATGAGTTTACCTGTGAGAAGGGTTCGTCGTCAGAGCTGGGGAAGTCATACTGGTTGAGGTCCTTGGGGTTGAACACAGAGGGGCCAGAGTGTTGGGGTGCAGAGAGAGGAGGGATCTTAGGCTTCTTCTCGTACTTCCTCTTCGTTCTGACCACCTCAGTCTTCTCCGGCTGGAAGGAGGAAAACGATAAAAGGAAAACCGTTACACAGCAGTCTACATTATTAAACGGATTCAGTGCGTGGCCTAGGTTGGTCTAGTGGTCGAAGCCGCTGCCTCCAGATCACATATACCGCTGCAGCGTGGGTTTGAACCCATCCCACTGCTATTTCAACACACTCTATCCTTTCCTCTCTACCTCTGTCCTATTCAATAAATGAACAAACATTTTTTAAAGTTACTCCGAGCCCTATAACATGTCCTATGGAGGATAGAGAGGCTGTGCTATAAAGGTATTCCGAGCCCTGTAGCATTTCATCTGGAGGTGGTGTTGTGATGGAGGGAGTGCTATTCAGAAACAGAACAGTGAGTCATTGATGTGCAGATGAGAGCCAAAGCACGGCGGCATGCACCAGATGCTTCTGCCCAGAATGATTGTGCCTCTCCCTGAAGACCGAACCTTACTTTAGTTTTGTACTCCTTCATGTCCATGTGGTCTTGGTGGCGGTACTGGTTGCTGTTGGAGAGGGGAATGATGGGTATCGTGTAGACGGGCTTCACCAGAGCCCTCTGGGCCAGGGTCTCTGCCATCACTTCACTGCCGTAGTCAGGCATGCCGTTCCTAGGGAGGACACAGAGGAAGAGGGGGTGAGGGCTAAGAATTTGAGAAATACCTTTTTAGGTCAAAACGTTGCACAATAAAACTGCAGGAGCATTCAACAGTGTGCAAGTAGGCCTAACCATGTGTCTCTCATGAGTACCTTTTGTACTTTGCACCGGCAAGTTACTGTATGTGAGCAGGCTACACCATTTCTAAATCAGAGAAAATACTCAAAAGTAGTGAAGGAAGTTGGCCACCTGGGTCTCTGCTATAGGAGGGCAAAACATCTTCCATCATAGAACAATACGCCAATCCAACTGTGAGTAAAAATAAAACCATCAGGTGCAGAGACACCAGTGCAGGGCAGGCTGATAACAGGCGGAAATTGAAATGTCACTACAAATCAAAAGCACTCAAGGAAAGAAGGAAAATCTAAACTCGCAGTGACAGCTACTTTCAGATGGAATCTATCCCATTCTGATATGTCATGTTTAGAAAGGCCGAGTCCCAAATGGCAACCTGCATTGTGCACTACTTTTGATCAGGTCCATAGGGCCCTGGTCAAAAGTAGTGCACTTTGCAGGGAATAGGGTGATATTTGGGACACAATCATTGAGTGCTCCACAAGGGAACAGCAAGCCCCAAAAAACAAATTAAGCAACTAACCAACAATAAGGCCAGCTTATTCTATTCCATTCTGTACCGACAAAACAGTTTGTTTTTTAATGGGAAGTGTAATGAGTGAAAGTGAATGCGCTCATTGCTTTGACCTTACTGCACAAATAAGGTGAATTCTAATTGATAATGGATGCAAAACAGAGCACTGAATGATGCCCCCAATTAACATGAGCAGCAGAGCCTTGGACTACTCTGCTAATACCCATCATACAGGATTCGTCCCAAATGACTTTGGAATTATGTTCTGGCCCATCCGCTCAAGAAGAAAATCAGCCCCCAGCTGAATTTAGTTGATCACTGCCCTATATAGTGCACAACCTTTGACCATGGCCCATAGTGTACAGTCATGGTCAAACATTTTCAGAATGACACAAATACAAATTTCCACAAAGTCTGCTGCCTCAGTTTTGATGATGTCAATTTTCATATACTCCAGAATGTCATGAAGAGTGATCAGATGAATTGCAATTAATTGCAAAGTCCCTTTGCCATGAAAATGAACTTAATCCCAAAAAAAAAAACATTTCCACTGCATTTCAGCCCTGCCACAAAAGGACCAGCTGCCATCATGTCAGTGATTCTCTGGTTAACACAGGTGAGAGTGTTGATGAGGACAAGGCTGGAAATTACTTTGTCATGCTGATTGAGTTAGAATAACAGACTGGAAGCTTTAAAAAGGAGGGTGGTGCTTGAAATCATTGTTATTCCTCTGTTAACCATGCAAGGAAACACGTGCCTTCATTATTGCTTTGCACAAAAAGGGCTTCACAGGCAAGGATATTGCTGCTAGTAAGATTGCACCTAAATCAACCATTTATCGGATCATCAAGAACTTCAAGCAGAGAGGTTCAATTGTTGTGAAGAAAGCGTCAGGGCGCCCAAGAAAGTCCAGCAAGCGCCAGGACTGTCTCCTAAAGTTGATTCAGCTGCGGGATCGGGGCACCACCAGTGCAGAGCTTGCTCAGGAATGGCAGCAGGCAGGTGTGAGTGCATCTGCACGCACAGTGAGGCGAAGACTTTTGGAGGATGGCCTGGTGTCAAGAAGGGCAGCAAAGAAGCCACTTCTCTCCAGGAAAAACATCAGGGACATGATGAATGCCCTTTCCGATTGTTTGGGGCATCCGGAAAACACCTTGTCTGGAGAAGACAAGGTGAGCGCTACCATCAGTCCTGTGTCATGCCAACAGTAAAGCATCCTGAGACCATTCATGTGTGGGGTTGCTTCTCAGCCAAGGGAGTGGGCTCACTCACAATTTTGCCTAAGAACACAGCCATGAATAAAGAATGGTACTAACACATCCTCAGAGAGCAACTTCTCCCAACCATCCAAGAACAGTTTGGTGACGACCAATGCCTTTTCCAGGATGATGGAGCACCTTGCCATATGCAAAAGTGATAACTAAGTGGCTCGGGAACAAAACATCGACATTTTGGGTCCATGGCCAGGAAACTCCCCAGACCTTAATCCCATTGAGAACTTGTGGTCGATCCTCAAGAGGCGGGTGGACAAACAAAAACCCACAAATTCTGACAAACTCCAAGCATTGATTATGCAAGAATGGGATGCCATCAGTCAGGATGAGGCCCAGAAGTTAATTGACAGCATGCCAGGGCGGATTGCAGAGGTCTTGAAGAAGGGTCAACACTGAAAATATTGACTCTTTGCATAAATTTAATGTAATTGTCAATAAAAGCCTTTGACACTTATGGAATGCTTGTAATTATACTTCAGTATACCATAGTAACATCTGACAAAAATATCTCATAACACTGAAGCAGCGAACTTTGTGAAGACCAATACTTGTGTCATTCTCAAAACTTTTGACCACCACCGTACTATGTAGGGAATAGGGTGCCATTTGGGACGCACACACAGCCTGCCCTGACTCCTAAAGGCGTCTCCTTGGGTTAACAAACAGCAGATTTAAACAACCAGACAGGCTACTCCTCAAGTCACAGACCCAAAATGGACGATGTGTAATCAGCCTGAAATCTAACAGCTGCAGACAGAAAGCAACGGTTTTCTTTGATTTGGTGGACCAATAATTTATACCCACAGCAAATAGCATTCTAAAGCCTAGAGAGTAACTGAGAAAACAAGTTGTTAAAGGTCCAAAACTCAGTGAGAAACCAGAGATAAATCAAGCTTTGAAGGTCTTTCTCACCTCTTCTCTACTATCTCCAGGGTGAGGTGGAGCAGCTCCCGCTTGCTCTTCTCCCTCCTCTTGATCATCTCCAGGATGGTGACGGCACGGCTCAGGTCCCTCCGCAGCTTCAGCATCTTCTCATACCCAGCCTCGTCGTTCTTACGGTTCTAAAGATAGATTTATGGAGGTACATGTAAGTAACAAGATTCTCGCTTTACTGTACTTCGTAGGCCAGTTTCCTGGACCCAGATTTCCTGAACTAAAATGCATGCCCAATGCAGCCCTAGGTTACAGCTAAAAGGACACACAGGTAAATCCAGAATGGTGTCTGGGTGATGGCTGGGGCTTTAAACACACTGCCGTGGGAACTGGCTTCAAGCCTCACCTTTCTGGTCTGCATTTTCTCGGTCCTCCTGCGGAAGGCCACGTAGGGGTCTGAGGTGCTGGATCCATCTCTCTTCTCCTGCTTCACCGTGGGGATGAGCGAGCCACTCTTACAGTTTTTTCGCTTCCTGGTCCAGTAGTCAAACACCTCCTTGATCAGCTCGTCATCCTCCTTCAGCAGCAGCTTGGCCTCCTGCAGGCTCACCAGCTGAGGAGAGGAGGCAACACACATTTAGTCACACTGTTCTTTCTAGTACTCAATAACCCACCTAGGCTAGTAATGAACACCTACAGCCTACACAAGTGCTTCCCAAACTTATCCTTACGTACCCCTAGCCGTTCCACTTCTTTGATCAAATAGGAGGAATTGCTGGGGGTACATGAGAAGAGGTTTGAGAAACACTGGCCTATGTCCTAACACTGGCCTAAGAAATGCCTTGAGCATTGTGGTGTGGTGTGGTTAAAGTACCTGCGTGCCACTGCCTTTCTCCAGCCGGTCGATCATCTCCTCAAACTGCAGAGAGGTGATCTCCATCTTCTTCTTCAGCTTATTCACAAACGCCTCATCCTCTGAATCCAGGTCGTAGTCCGGCTGCTCTGTATCCAAACTGAAAGCTGTGATAGAGAAGACGGGTCGAAGTAAGAAATAACCCCAGCAACACTTTGCAGTACTTTTAGAGTACTTCCCAAATGGCACCCTATTCCCTATATAGTGCACTACATTTGACCAGAGCGCTAAGGGACCTGGTCAAAAGTAGTGTACTTTATAGTGAATAGGTGTTACAGAAAGAAGACCATGGGAATTCTGATAAAAACATCAATTTTTTGCCCACAATCAGCAGCGCAATGCTGCCAACTCCAGAAATACGCTAAGCTTGCAAAAAGCCTACCCTCCCTTTGCATCTATCCTACATGAAAGCCCTTTAGAAAAAAACGGAGCAGACAGGTGTGTTTGTGAACTGGGGCTGAGAGGGGGTCCCCTGGGCTTACTGAGTATCCAGACAAACAGAGTGCCCCACTCTCCCCCCGCCGCAGCCTGTGTGAGTGAGTGTGCTCAAACGCTTTCAGACAGCAGGACACGTCTGGGATCACACTGCTGCTATTAGAGATACCCCAGGGGCTGACACAATCACTTAAACATACCTCAGACAGAGCACACACAAGCAGCAGCATGAACACACAAACAAACTGCAGTATGTGCGCACACTCAAGACAAGAAAAACAGAAACCTCTGCCGACTGACCGCAGACAGATAGAGCTAACAGACAGACACAGCAGGCAGACACAGAGGAAGACTGACACAGGCACGGCAGACACAGACAGGAGAAAGACAGACACAGACAGGAGAAAGAGACACAGACAGGAGAAAGACAGACACAGACAGGAGAAAGAGACACAGACAGGCTACATGAATAGTAATAGTTCTCACGCTGTATGTGAATGAGCTGCTTTGGCATCTTGAAGTCCCCGGGGTAGAGGGACTCGTAGTAGGCGATGTTGCTCCCTGCTTCGGGGACGGGGATGACCATGTTGTCCCGTTTCTCCCCGTACACCTGCTGCGCCGAGATGGCCCGCTGGAGATGGTGCTCCTGTGGGGGAGGAATATAACAAAGGAGAGGTCAGTGAGTCAGTAGGCCTACATCCTCAACAACAGTGCTTTGGTAAGTTGCAATGACATACAAGGAAGATATTAAACAAGAGGTTAGTCTGGAGGACAGCTACATTAACGTAACATCGCTTTGAGATGAAATGTCATCCATATAACACACTGACTGACACCTTTATGTTAAAGGTTTCAACCATGAAGCAATTTCATTGTGTAGCATGGCTCCAGACTGACCATTTAGTCGCAGTTTGCGACCGTTTGACTTGGCTGTGCAAGTAAAAACATTCATTGGTCACATGAATGGATTGACATTAGGCGCTCAAGGGCACTTGCCCATTGTTTTTACCTGCCCAAATATTATAATCTGGCAACCTGGCTAGATTAATGTCACTCACCAGCCCAAATGTTCATATGGCTTAGCATATGGTGTGGCCAATTACCTTCACGGTTTAGACAGAGGAAGCAGAATCAACAAGATGTGTCTAACAGTTAGCCTATACAAATCTCTTCAATACATGAATTGGCAAGGTGCCAACCAACAGGACAGAGCAACATTAACTTCAACAGGTAATGTAGCGTACCACCATCAATGCACATCATTTAGGCTAGCCAAGTGATATACTAATGATTCAGCAACAAACAGCCTTCTGCTTGCTGCCAAAAACAGTTAATGTTGTTAATCTTTTAGAACAAATGATGTACATCGGAGCAAGATGAGAGAAGCTAGTATCTGAATCACTTACGAACAGACCAGTCTTGGGTCTTCCGTCTCTCAGTTGAAGCAAATCATGATGCAACACCAAGCTAAAATTTTCTTCAATGCAAGAATAAAAACACAATTTACATCATGTTCTATGATGATAATGGCCAACCCAAGGCCAGGGACAAGCAATACTTAGAGGTGTATTAACTAGGAAGCAAACTGGCCGCAAACAGGGAGGGACCTATTTGAATTTGTCCTACAAGAAACAATGTGCACTAATGAATAAATACACTGGGCAGGGTGAGATCTTGCATAAGGAACCAATTAGAATAAGGCCAGGCTTCCCTTTGCACACTCCTCTGGCGACCCACTCTAACCTGAACCACAGGGAAAGCATCAATACAAGACTAAGATCGAATCCTACTACGCTGTCTCTGACGCTCAATGGATGTGGCAAGGCTTGCAGACTATCACGGATTACAAAGGGAAACCTAGCCGTGCGCTACCCAGCGACGCGAGCCTACCAGACAAGCTAAATGCCTTCTATGCTTGCTTCGAGATGAGCAACAGCCTAGTCCGAGCATTTCTGACCTGGCACCCCAACGGTGGAACCAGCTTACCCCTGAAGCTAGGACAGCAGAGTCCCTCCTGCCCATTTTACGAAAACATCTGAAACCCTACCTCGCCAAAGAGTATGTTAAATAATCCCACAGCACCACCCCTCTTCCACACTGCCCTCACCCACATGGACAAATGAATATCTATATATAAGAATGCTGTTCATTGACTACAGCTCAGCATTCAACACTATAGTCCACACCAAGCTCAGGACCCTGGGACTGAACAACTCCCTCTGCAACTGGATCCTGGACTTCCTGACGGGCCGCCCCCAGGCAGTGAGGGTAGGCAACAACACATCCGCCTCACTGACCCTCAACATGGGGGGGCCTCTCAGGGGTGCGTGCTTAGTCCCCTCCTGTACTCCCTGTTCACCCATGACTGTGTGGCCGCGCATGACTCCAAAGCCATTATTAAGTTTGCCAACATGACGGTAGTAGGCCTGATCACAGAGACCTGGCAGTGTGGTGCCAGAACAACCTCTCCCTCAACAAGACAAAGGAGCTGATCGTGGACTACAGGAAATGGAAGGCCGGAGTAGGTTGAGAGCTTCAAGTTCAGGACCCTGAACAGCTTCTACCCCCAAGTCATAAGACCGCTAAACAAGGCTGCTAAATAGCTAATCAAATGGCTACATAGACTACCCTTTTTTTAACCAACTCTTGCATTGACTATGCACACACACTGGACTCTACCCACACACTCGTACACACATAACATGTGCACAAATGCGCACTGATACCACACACACACACACACACACACAGATACACTTACCTATATGTACATAGCTACCTCAATTACCTTGTACCCCTGCACATCGACTGTACTGGTACTCCCTATATATAGCAATGTTATTTTTCCTCATTATTGTTATTCACTGTGTATTTATTCCTTTATCTTCATCTCTGCATTGTGGCAGCATCATGCTGTGGGGGTGATGAACGGAGCAAAGTAAAGAGAGATCATTGATGAAAACCTGATCCAGAGCACTCAGGGCCTCAGAATGGGGCGAAGGTTCAACTTCCAACAAGACAACGACCCTAAGCACACAGCCAAGACAACGCAGGAGTGCCTTCGGGACAAGTCTCTGAATGTCATTGAGTGGCCCAGCCAGAGCCCGGACACCTGTTAATTTAAATGCATTCCAGGTGACTACCTCATGAAGCTGGTTGAGAGAATGCCAAGAGTGTGCATAGCTGTCATCAAGGCAAAGGGTGGCTGTTTGAAGAATCTCAAATATAAAATATACTTTGATTTGTTTAACACTTTTGTTTACTACATGATTCCATGTGTTATTTCATAGGTTTGATGTCTTCACTATTATTCTACAACGTAAAAAATAAAGAAAAATCTATCCAGAACCCCTCAATAAACAATTGGATTTGCAAGTATACAGTGCCTTGCAAAAGTTTGGATTTCATGTAATGGACATACACAAAATAGTCCAAATTGGTGAAGTGAAATGGAAAAAAATAAATAACGGTAAAGTGGTGCGTGCATATGTATTCACCACCTTTGCTATGAAGCCCCTAAAGATCTGGTGCAACCAATTACCTTCAGAAGTGACATAATTAGTTAAATAAAGTCCACCTGTGTGCAATCTAAGTGTCACATGATCTGTCACATGATCTCAGTATATATATATATACATACACACACACACACACACACACACACATATACCTGTTCTAAAAGGCCCCAGAGTCTGCAACACCACTAAGCAAGGGCCATCACCAAGCAAGCGGCACCATGAAAACCAAGGAGCTCTCCAAGCAGGTCAGGGACAAAGTTGTGGAGAAGTACAGATCAGGGTTGGGTTATTAAAAAATATCTGAAACTTTGAACATCCCACGGAGCACCATTAAATCCATTATTAAAAAATGTTAAGAATATGGCACCACAACATAACTGCCAGGAGAGGGCCGCCCACCAAAACTCACGGACCAGGCAAGGAGGGCATTAATCAAAGCAGCAACAAAAGAGACCAACGATAACCCTGAAGGAACTTCAAAGCTCCACAGCGGAGATTGGAGTATCTGTCGATAGTACCACTTTAAGCCATACACTCCACAGAGCTGGGCTTTACGGAAGAGTGGCCAGAAAAAAAGCCATTGCTTATAGAAAAAAATAAGCAAACACGTTTGGTGTTCGCAAAAAGGCATGTGGGAGACTCCCCAAACATATGGAAGAAGGTACACTGGTCAGATGAAACTCAAATTGAGCTTTTTGGCCATCAAGGAAAACGACATGACTGGCGCAAACCCAACACCTCTCATCACCCCGAGAACACCATCCCCACAGTGAAGCATGGTGGTGGTGGCAGCATCATGCTGTGGGGATGTTTTTCCATTGGCATGGACTGGGAAACTGGTCAGAATTGAAGGAATGATGGATGGCACTAAATACAGGGAAATTCTTGAGGGAAACCTGTTTCAGTCTTCCAGAGATTTGAGACTGGGACAGAGGTTCACCTTCCAGCAGGACTTTGACCCTAAGCATACTGCTAAAGCAACACTCGAGTGGTTTAAGGGGAAACATTTAAATGTCTTGGAATGGCCTAGTCAAAGCCCAGACCTCAATCCAATTGAGAATCTGTGGTATGACTTAAATATTGCTGTACACCAGCGGAACCCATCCAACTTGAAGGAGCTGGCGCAGTTGTGCCTTGAAGAATGGGCAAAAATCCCAGTGCCTTAATGTGCCAAGTTTATAGAGACATACCCCAAGAGACTAGGAGCTATAATTGCTGCAAAAGGTGGCTCTACAAAGTATTGACTTTGGGGGGGATAGTTATGCATGCTTGTTTGTTTCACAATTAAAAAACATGTTGCATCTTCAAAGTGGTAGGCATGTTGTGTAAATAAAATGATACAAACCCCCCAAAAATCCATTTTAATTCCAGGTTGTAAGGCAACAAAATAGGAAAAATGCCAAGGGGGGGGGGGGTGAATACTTTCGCAAGCTACTGTATGTACGTATGTATGTATGTATGTATGTATGTATGTATGTATACACTCAAAAATATATGGGGGATTGGAAATGATGCAGACAATTACATTGATGGAAGATACAATCTGCAACATTAAAGCTGATCTACAACCTAAAAAAAAAATTGGTTAAAAGAAAACAATAAATAATTACTCACAGCTTCTAGACTCAGCGTAGTGCAGGGACCCTCTACTAGGTTGTTGTTGTTTATGGCACAGGCAATGATCAAACTAGCCATAGCAGGGTGATGGACAGTAGATCATTCATAGAAAGAATGTAGCCAGCTACATTTCCTATTGTTATGCTTGAAGTTAGCCTAATATTGCATTTTACCGGAGAAAAGTAGCTACACATCAGTCAGACGACTAGTGCAATGATTTCTCAGAGTGGAAAAGTGCAACTGAAGCACAAAATTAGTCTAAAGCCGAACAGAAATGACAAAAAAATGTGTGACGCGCTCCATCATAATTAGTCAAAAGTCACTATGATAATTAACATATAAATGGTGTTGTGGAATTTCTGGGGGATTTCATCTGGTTTTATAACAGTGTCTTTGCTTTCATAATCTGTATGTCTTATTGCCAAATTCTGCATATAAATATATATTTTTATCTTATAAACATAGGATGAAACATAGCAACGGAGGACTTTCACATTGGTTTGGTAGATGC